CCCCAAAACCCCAAAACCCCAAAACCCCACTATTCCTGATTTGATCAATTAGAGATAAATTAACAATATATATTGTGCTTGAGATCAAAAGTTAGTTTTATTAAGTATTGTTGTGTTGCCTGCGTGCTGAGACGTTGTGTTCTTAATCGATCTTCTGATCTTAGAGGTATAGTTGTGATCCATCTTTTATATCCTATAAAAATTATATATAAACAGTATAAATTACATAGAAGTCTCAGGTCCAATCATTCTTGATGCTTTGTGTGGTTCTTTGTCGAAGGGGTCATAGTAATAGTCTTTGAAGCGCATGTTAAGCATATTTTTCGACTATGGGAATCTCTCGACTGTCTCCTTCAAATTCATCTGAGCTGTCCTTAATTTAGCAGTAGAACTTTTCTACCTTCCTTGATTTTTGAGATCCTCATAAAGTAAAGGTCTGATAATTGGAGGAAGCGACAATTCCTCCTAGGTTAACTGTATATTATGTATAGTCTTATGTTGAGTTTTATTTTTATGCGTACTTGTGGCAATGCCTCTGGTGCTTTGATTACCAGCCAGACCGAGCATTTAAGCTGCATTCTTTTAGAACATACTCATGCTGTTGGTGGCTGATTTTTGAGAACCAACACTCCTGAGACCTAGCTGGTAGATATCCATGTCCTCATTTTTCTTACCACTACCATAGACATCGTCATCATCTGAATCCCCTTCGTCCGAGCTAGGATCCAAGAAGACTTCACGCCACAACGGATCATTAGCGAGATTAGGCCTTTGGACTGGCTTGAACAAAGTCTTCCTGGGGAGTTTCTTGTTGCCCTTCTTCTTTCTTCTCCTTATAATTCTTCTTCTCCTCTTTTTCACTCTATCTATTATGTTTTCCAGTCTATTAACGAAAACATTCCACTCCTCAGTTGTGATGACTCCTCCGATTTCATCCCTTCTAGAATGATATGGCAACTGCAGATTCATGTACTTGATGTACTCACTCTTATTCTTCTCGTTGAAGTCTTTCTTAAGTCTCACTAGGATGTAGTTATACTCTATGGGATCTGCAATTTGAAGCAATTCCTCTGGGACCACTCCATTCTCAAACAAATGCGCGACCTCACTCCAATCGTATCTTTGAGGCTTGCATAGCCCACTGCTTTTAATCTCGCTATCCATTCTTGTTAGGTCCCCAGCTTTAGAGACATCAGTGGAGTCAGCCATGTCGTCTCTTAGGTTAGCTTCTATTTTAGTAGTGTCTGCAGGCGCGAATTCTTGTTATTAAGAGGGGTTAGCGATTCCATTGTCTGCATCCTGATTTAAGTTCTACCTTAAAGGCAGATTTTACTGACTCATCTCTGACTAATGCTGGTAATTAGGTTGGAGTTCTTAATTGACACTCATCCTCTTGCGCTTGAAGTCACTCTTAGGAGTGGCTCTGCTAGATAAACTCTCTTTTAGCATTGAGTTAGAAAGGGGCATCTGCTATTACTGAAGAATTATAGCTTCTCTGATCTAGTTTTATTAGTCCTGTACTTTTTATTTATGGGCTATCATGTTTGCTTTATTAACCCTGCCTCTTTCTTCATTGACAGCACTGGAACCAAAGTTGTTAATAGGAATGATATCATGCCTGTGAAACTTCTTAGTCCACCTCTCTGGTATCTTGTACTTGATCTCATTCTTCACTTGCTGCTTGTTAGGACTCTTAGCCAATGCCAAACTGACTGATTGTTCGTGCAGCTCATCAAATTTATTGTAGAATTTGGCAATCATCTCTTGAATCTCTGCTGACTCCTCCTCTGCCTACAGTCTCTCAAGAACTGCCTGTTCAATCTACTGCTCATCGAATTATGCTCCACTAAACTATCTGGCGAAGGTCTCCTCTTTAAGTATATTTCCAATCTAGGCTGGCTTATCCTCCTGCAGCAGTTACAGGTATCTATCATAGACTTGGTTTATGGCTCTTTCATCAAGATTATTGTTTGTAGGTGATTTAGGTGGATAGCTATAAGACTGGTTCTGCTGCTAATTGCTCTGCATCAAATGAGCTGGCATGAAATTATTCTGGGATATAAGCAGACTACTGTCGTCTACATGGCTTGTTTGATTGATCTACTTGTTGTCATTAAGGATCATAGACGAAATCTAAGTCTGGTGAATCAAGTCTGGGACCTTCACATTAATGTTGCTCTTGTTTTCTTCTGAGTACTAGTTCATCAGCGCTCTTTGCTGCAACATCTGCTAGTGATGATTATAAGGAGCTGTATCAAAGGATGAAGGAACTTGCATCGCTCCTTAAGCATCACTTTCACTGTCTAGAGTTTCCTTGCCAAGGGAGTCCTTTCTGTTTTAGAAGTTATTATTAGTATTTCTAGGCGATTGCTTAATTTTGATTTTCTCATAGACAACATTCTTCAAGGCTTAGTTATTATTGTCAACGGGTTAAGTGGCAATATTATGCTAATGATTTGGATGGATGGGTAAATCCTAGTTTACTATCAAGTGATGGTTTTGAGTGCTTGTAGCATCCATCATCCTTCTCTTAGCCTTATTGATGTATTCTGGATGTAGCTTCAACAAGTAACCTCTCTTTGATATACTAGTCTTGGTTCTTTCTATTGGCTAAAAAGTTCTACCAAATATAGGTAAACGCACATCTGCTGCTATTAAATACGAGTTTTCTGATATTTCCAGCAACTTTGCATGTTTGAATCTGTCTCCTAACTAGCCAACCAGATGCTTTTCAATTTCATTTTATCTCATCTCTTTTGTATTAGAAATTTTGAGAGGCCCTCTTTTCAGTTTTTCTGGATTGACTAGCATTATCTAGTTAGAATTGTTATTTTCAGTTTAATGACTCCTCAAAGTAGTATTCTGATCACCATAATTTTTAAGATTGAAATCTTTTCTAGTTTTGTCATTCAAGTCTATAGATATAAAAAATACTCAATTTCTTACTGATTCTTTTAATTTGATCCATCATGTTCATGCTCTAAGTCAGTAGCTCTGTGGCTTTGCTAGCCTTGTGGATTTACTTGAGATCTTTATCTAACTTATCGAAATGCTAGTTGATATATTGATTTTGTGACTAGGTGGGCAAATCTATCCAGAGATCCAAGATTCTGTTTTCACTTTTTTCTTTAAACGCCTCGTGTAAGGTTTTCTCAACTGATCTAACAATTTCCCCCTAACGTCCAAAATTTCTAGCATACCAGTCTTTATAGGCTTCTCCATTCTCGACTATTTGCTCGCATTTTGATCTGTAAGACAGAAGTGTATTAAAGAATTCTATTGAAAGCACTTCTATTTCCTCTAGATCCTTGAAGGTAGACACATTTACATGAGATCCTTTTGTTATGTTCAGGAATATACCATTCAAAAAGAACAAAAATGTCTCTATATCAAGGTATTGACACCATGATAGGCACAAATCAAAGAAGAACTCTGAGAGTCTTTCGAAGTCAATTACGTAAGGCTCATCTTGTTTCACTCCAGCATTTTCATCCTCTTCATTTATCTAGGACAATTATCCCTTTAGGTCTTTTCCGTTTCTCTTATCGAAAGTTTCTCTCTCGATATCAATCTTCCAGTCCTCAACTGCAGACTCCTGAGCACTTTGGTAGTCAAAGTCTAGAATCAAACTCTTCTAGATGCGCATGTTTAACTCCATATACTGCTTCTTCGTCAACTTTGAATAGTTGTTTTACTGCAGCAAAACAAACCATTATCCTAGACAGCCTTAGAACTATATTCAAATTGTGAGTATATTTTAATGGTGCTTATATTTCTTGATAACTTACAAGTGTATGATAGTAGAGTGCAATTTTCTTTTTAAGTTCCTCATCTTGGACTTGGTCAGATGGTTAATTATTAAGAGGGTTTTAGCTATTTAGTTAGTTTGAAGTGAGTCCGCCTTCATTTGTCTGGTTCAGATTTGAATTTGACATATTATTGCTCAAATCCTCGTCTGCCTGACTTAAAGTATGAACCGGCTGGTAATTCATATTGCTGAAATTCATTTGCTTCCGATCCTGAAATAATTTATAAGAATTTGATGATTCAAAGTATGTCTATGTGAACAAGTCTTACCTTGCTTGATATTTAGTCTTAATTGTGCCTGTTCTGCAGAGATTAGTTCGCTGTTTGCGAAGAATCATTTTGATTCTGCTGCTGCATTTTATTCAATTAAACTTATATTACTTAAATATTTCTTAAATACTTCATATTTTCTACATCTCGGGGTTTTGGGGTTTTGGGGTTTTGGGGTTTTGGGG